TTTTACCTTTCTTTTTTTCCCAAAGCGTCCTCCTCGCTCCCATCCACCGGCAGCAGATGAGGGAGGAGCAGTGAAGAACCATTATTCTTTCGCCCCCCATACTACACTTGTTCCCTCTCTCTTGTTAGCTTTGTGTGTCCAGGTGAGGCCAGGGATGCGTGCTGGCTTGACCTCTCAGGAGATGCTATGACCCTCACAGTGCCGGGTGACGTCCTGGGAGCAGCCTGGGGTCCTTCCACGTGCAGAGGGTGACAACCACAGCAGCTCCATGGGGAAGCCCCTGCTCAGTTCAGTAGTATATTCTCAGATCACCTCCTGGTTCTCAAACCCTCCTGCTCCTCAACCAACCCATTTCCCAGCATGAACTGACAGTGGGGCGCACCCTGATGTTTGCTGGTGTTTGGGTCTTCTATCTTTTCCTGAATTCCCTCGGTATAAAACACCGAGATCTGTGTTGCTTAAGTTGAGGGCCTTCTCAATCTCTCTTATCTTCTGGATATCTTTAATTCAAGCTTACTGGTGTGCTTGACCTTTTCAAACTACTGGTGTTTATATACTATAGCTTAAGAACCCAGGTATCTACTAGAGGGGCAATATATTTATAAGCTAAATATCTATCCAGGCCCCTAATCATACCCTCATAGATGCTATAAGCCCTGAGCATCCCTGATATGAGGGATAAGCTGAAGAACTGTGTTCCTGCACACAATAGAGGAGCTCAACAAGATTTGAAATGAGTGGATGATTGTAAAACCTTTTAACCAGGAGAATATAGACTCATGACTTTGTGCAATCACCAAGCTACTCAGAGACCAAAACACTTCTTATTATTGTCCACGCCGTTTCTATTAGGCCCCCTTATGGCCAATATCTGGTGTCTTCTCGTAGGTTTTACTGCTGCTGGTTTTGTGTGTTTGTGAATATTTCAATCCTAGAGACCTGTGTCGCTTCTGGGTAGAAGCAGATAAGGGCAGGTGCACTGTCTGAAACGCCCTATTCTCCCCTGCCATGGTGGTTATAACAGCAGCATTGCTGGTTATAACATGTTGTGTAACCCGGCATTCCCGAAACCTGAGCAAATGCAGGGGAAGTAGTTGCTCTTGAAGATAACTTGGATGGATCTACCTGAACCTTGAGTGAGATTTGGAGGTTGTCACTGCAGCATACATAGCCCATGTTTACTGCATAAATTTTGAATATTAACTTACTTGACTTTTAGTTACCTAAGCAATATAGTCTCTCTCAGGCTGCCTGACTCAAACAACCTTGAGCCACAAAGGGACTCACAAGGGCCCTCCCTACCTGAGCAAAACGGTACTTTTCATATTTATTTAGTAAGAAGACAGAGTGAAAAAATGAAAGGGTTGAGTGACTGAAATCCTGATTTCCTATTTGTAAGCCTGTTTGTACGGTAGAATAAAGTGTTTTCAAGACATTTCCAGGCCCATTGACCTAAGGAAATAGCACTGTGACCCCACTGCCTGCCTCCCTGCACTTTTATTAATTCCCTGAATGCTTCATTTCACATGTAAGTGGCAGGGGTCAGGCCAAGGCCAAAGGTCAGATGGCAACTTCAGGCCAAGGGAATGCGTTCTGTGATCAGAGGGCTGGATGGGGGCAGGAAGAGGAGGGTGCAAGCACTGCTGAGTTTTGAGCAAGCCCAGGACGCCTGGCCCTGGCCACAGAGGGCCTGACAGGATAGGAAGAGCATGAGAGGGATGTGAGTTCTCCAAAGACTCAGTTCCAAAACAGAGTGAGGCTGGGAGGACCTCATCAGAAGGTCTTATGATAGAATAAACAACCTAGAATAGTCAGAAAAATTACTTAGAAAACAATGAGAATGGAGTTGGTCCTCTTATGTTAAAAAGTTTTATAAAACTAACATAATTGTAAAAGTGTGTTACTAACAAAGAACTACATAGACCAAATGTAAAGGCCACCAAAACCAGGGCCACATATGTCTGTACATATATGTCATATATGCATGATAAAAATAGATTGCCAAGGTTATAGGAAAATAATGAATTGTTCAATTAATAATTCTCAGTTAATTAGGTAAACATTTAGAGGAAAAATAAAATCAGAATTAAAATATAAAACTTCTCTGCTAAAAAGTAAAACACTGTAAGATTAAAATGAAATGCTCATTTATTTGCAAAGTATATAACACACAAATCAACAAGAAAATGGTGAATATCAAAATAGGAATGAGAAGAGAAATATCTAAGAATGAGAAGAGAAAATTCATGAAATAACATATATTGATGGCCAATAGTAATGAAACATGAAAAAATGTACAATCTTAGTAGTAATTAAAGAAATTCAAATTAAACAGCAATAAGCATTCAAAAATTTATGGACTAGAGTTCAAACTATACTAGAGGAAAATGTACTTTACTTTCATTATTAAAAATGACAAAATAACAGCATGGACATTGAGTGTGGTGTTAAGCCATCTCTGAAGCATCTATTCATCCTTCATCTCAGACTGTGGGTGTTTCCGCCTCTGGACTCCTCAGACTCCTCCATATGGTGCACTCAAAATGCACCCCACCTTTCCGGGTCACTGCCATTGGAATGTTTGGAAACCAGACCTCATCAGTGTAAGGGGATATGATCCCCTAGGACAGGGGTGGGCA